AATCCCATCAAGGTCTGATATGGCTCTTCAAGAAATATTTCATTTTGAGGTCATCACATATTCCTCAATTTGATCAAACTTCCTACCCTTCACATTTCCCATGCCTGACCCCACACCCATGTTCTTTGACCTATTATTTCTTACTTCAATTTTGGCTTCTCAGTCTATAAACCCCACCTCTGGTTTGATTTCTCCGTCTACTACGTTAGTCCTGATGGCCAATCATTTTAATATTTTATCTATAGCACCATGCAATCCTTTGCCTCCTCTGAATCTCCATCCTAAGTGTAGGGTAAAGAAAATGACAGGCTTTTCTGCCCTTCCGCTATCAGGATAGATGACGGATCCTTGTCCTGAATGCATGCCTGATGGCGGGCACCTGGAATAGGGTGTGGGCATAGGTAGATGGGATTCAGCTGAGCTAAGACTGTGCTTTTTAAGGGCGGCGTCACGGGGGGAACTCCAGCAGCAGCAGCAGTAGCAGCAGCAGCAGAATCTGAAGGAGAAGCCGAAGCAGAAGCAGAGAACGCCAGAGAGCCCAGATAGAGTGAAGACTTGCTGGGGGCTGGGAGGTCTGCCAGCCTCCCAGCCCCCCAGCCAGCACCCCTGCCTGCCACATGCCTGGTGAACCCCAAATAAAAAACCTGCAAAACTACTGAGGACTCTGACTCCTCCTTTACCCGGTCTGCATGGGATCAGAAAACCTGCACTGTGCCCAGTCCTGCCTTTACACTAAGCTAAAGGCAATTTCTACTTTCTCCATTTCTGCCTCGCACTTAATACTGTGGGGGTATAGGGACAGCTTCCCCACACCTTGATCATTTCCCCACCTCAGCTAGTCCTCACTGACATGCCCTTCCATGGGCACCAGAATGTCTGTTCTGAACTGTTATCGATCAGGTTTCTGTCGCAATTGTCTGAGGCTCTTAACTTAAGGAAAACCAAGCTAACGCTTCACGAGAATAGAAGTCCTCAGACTAAGGCTCCCCCAGCTTCCTCATCCCCATCCAGACTTCCCTCTCAGAAACCAGGCCTCCCTCCCTTTCAAGGCCGCATCACCCCCTCCTGCTTCTCTCTGCTTTGCTTTTTTTCCTAAAGCTTCCAACTTTCCTTCTTTAGGCGGCTTCACCTCAGTCTAATGCTCCCAATACATATTCTCATTTTGAAAATGAAAAAATATTTTCTTAAACTGCTGTGAAATTTCCTTTTTCTTTTCCTATCCGGACTTGTACCGGGTAGCAAGCAGGCAGGCTGGGGTGCTGGGCAGGTGGGCATGAGGGGCTGGCTTAGTAAGAAGACTGAGAGGCAAGAAATCTCCCAGTTCCCCTCCAATCCCTGAGCGCTTTCCCCTCTCTCTGGCACTCTTTCTGGAGTTCTCAGGCTCTGTGATGCCACCCTTTTATCGCTACCCTCCGGGCACAGGTGCCCACACTTACGCGTGCGCACTCCCATGCTCTCGGCCCAGGTGTCCACAATCCTAGATACACGCACCCTGCACCCACGCATCTCGGCTCCGGGCACCCATGCTTGTTAGCTCTGGCACAGTGTAAGAAAGCCTCATTCATTTCATTTACCCTGCAACTTGGAAGCATAATATACAGTCTCCAACTCTCACTGCTTCCCCCAGATTCAGAACCCTAAAATGCTGGCTTCTTTGAGCAATGGGTTGTTCAACTGCTCTTGCAAAAAATGTATGCTCTAGACCCATGCTGCTCAATACAGTAAACACTAGCGACATGATACTGTTTAAATTCATTGAAATTAAATAAAAGGAAAAACTCAGTCTCTCAAGTCATGTTAGCCCCATTATAAGTGCTCAATAGCCATAGGTATTCAACTCATCCACAAAGGTCATCTCTTCTTGGAAGTCTTTTCAACTCCTTGTAACAAGGAATCCTCTGTGCGCCTGTATTTCTAAGTTGTTCCTTGTCTCATTGCACGATAATCATTTATGGGGTGCCTCCTTCTCTCTTCTGAGCCCCGCAAGGATAGTGAGAGGCTAAATCCCAGTCACCTTTGTATTCAGGACCTGTTTAGTGCCTGACAAAGGAGGCCCTCATTTATTTCTTTTTTTCTCTTAGAGTTACCTTTATTGGAAGGTTAAACACGAAGAAACAATATATTCATTTCATAACTTGATATTAAGCATCATAGGAGACTTCATCACATGCTCCCTCTTTCCATGTACTGACTCAAGCAGCTCTCAGAGAATGGACCCTTCCTCCCACCTTCCCCTCCTTCCAAGATCAGATTTAGTTCTTTTAGAACCACAGGGAAACAGTCTGGCAAGAGCCACTGTTGTACCAGCTGATTTAAATTGAAATGTTTTCCCCAGATAAATGCGTGCTAAATAATACACCAGCTCTCCAGCCAAAGGGAAGTGACAGGCGCTCTGTAAATAAAGGCACTTAGTTGCTGGTAAAGAGCTGTAAAGTGGTTCTGAGTTGATGTTTGCTGACCAGCAAGAAGCGACTTCACCTGCTTTATATAATTGTCACTGCAACCTTGCCTGCTGTATATTAAAACTGCATCTCATAGACCCAACTGTCACATCGGATACACCATCCAGTGCGGGGTGTGCCACCTTTCTCTGTAATTGTTTCTGACAACCAGCCATCACATCTCAGATCTTTTCAGAAAATGTCTGGTCCAGAATCCCTAGGCTGGGCTAGTTCTGACACCATGTAGGCTAGAATAGTGACACCAAAAGGAATGTGAAAAGAGAAGAGGTAAAGAGTTTTCGTTAGTGTAGGAGACCAAATAACAGGCCGTGGCAAGTGCCTGAACACAAATCCCAAGGAAGACTCTGCTTGGCAATGTTAAAACACATTTTTCTTGTTATACTTTATCATTTTAGAACAATGTTCCAGCAGGTGGCATGACTATGTTGGCTTGAGAGCACACAGATTTGTCCTAAGTCTATGTTTCTATCCTGCTGGGTTCTGGAGAGATGTAAATATCACTTTCAAGAAAAAGAGAAGGATGAAGGTTTCATAAAATTAATAGTGATGAAAACTGAGGTGACAGTGGTGAGAAATCTGTGTTTAGCTATCACTGAGGGGAAGCTAGATTTGTTTCCCCAAATTGAAAATAATGGGAAATGTACTTGTACTCTGCAATTCCAATGCACTTGGAGTTTGGTCATGTCGAATGCCCAGGCTGGCATTCCAGTTGGCCAGAAGGGACTAAAGGAAGAAGAACAGCTTGGAAACTCATTTCACCCATGTGACCCCACAGACTGGTACAAACCCCAGGAGCGGCTGTATAGGAGGGGCAATCAGAGGTGAACACAAAACCTGCCCCTCAGGGAGGAAGCAATTTCTTGTGTTGATAGTCACCATGAACCTGCATTTCTAACAAGGTTTATGGGGTGATTCCCATTCAGGGGAGCAGGGGAAGAAACATACTCTACAGCAAGTTCTTAAAGGCAGATACCAAATGCCAGCTTGCCTCTTTCACTCTTACAAGGCCAGCTTATTGTGTTCTCACATCCTTTGTCCCCTGCCCCTCAGCAGGCCATGTAGGCGGCAGTCCCCCCAGCAACATCCCAGCACCCTAAGAGGAAGCCTGGGCTCTTACCTGGCCAGCTGCATAGATGTTACCCCATCCTGCAAGCTCAGCTAAGACAGTAGATACCAAGACTTAGAGTCGGGGGTAGGGGGAGGCTTTGGGGAGCGGGCAGAAGGGAAGCCGGTTGGCATGGAGATGTCAAAATTAAACTTCAGGCCATATCAGTCAGGGTTATTTCATCAGGGTTATTTCAGGATGGAGTAGCAAAGGTCAAAGAGGCCACTATTAACTATCTCACTTGTAACGCCAAGTAGAGGGTTGTCCTGAGCTGTGCCAGCAGGTGCTGTGCCCTCAGGGAAGCCCTGCCCTCCCTCCTGGTCCTTAGCAGCCAAGTCAGTGGTGGTCACAAAGCTTCCACCAGAACTTCTTTGAACCCCTCCTTTTTCTCAGGGGTGGTGTGCAGCTGCCTCCAAAGAATCCAGGCTACTTTTCTCTGTTACTTTCCAGATCCTGCCCCAGTGCCCCTCTCTCATTGGCAGATTCCAGTCCAAACCCTGCAGGGAGGAGGATTCTAGGAGCTACTGCTCCTGGCTTTGCTGCAATGCTGAGCCAGTGTTAGAAGAGGTGGTACTGATGCTGACTTGATAAGAAGTAGTGCAACACTCAGGCCTGGGTAGGGGGCCTGGTGGATCCTGGAATGATGCAGGATCCCACAAAGCACCCAGTGCTGCCCATCCAGCAAGTCACATGGGACAATGATCTTATTATTCATAAGTCTGAACAGAGGTGTCACTTGGAAAATGCTCTGTACCCAATTCTGCCAAGGCCCTGATTAGCTATTGTTTATTTTGGGGTTTCTGCCGTGCTGCCTCTCTGAGATTCCTAGATGACATCTTGACTTGGAACCATCTGCCCAAGATCCCAGAGCAAATAACAGGGAAGACTGGGACAGAGCAGAGAAGGCAGACACGTGTCATTTAATACTGCTGTGCCTCCATAGACCATGCGTGGGCTGTCAGCGTCACCTCTCTGGAGACTGCCATCCTTGGTTACATTATAACAATGCAAAGTTTAACAACTTCAAGCAGCTAGAACAATGACAAAGCTTAAGACCTCCATTCCATGTCAACGGCAGGAGTCTATACCACAGAGAAACACTGGGAATTGTTCAGCCAGCATCTTTGCAGTGCTGACATTTATCCGGTAACCCTGATCATAAAGTCACTGTTTGGAAAGGCTAAGAGGGTGGCAATTTAAAGACTGGTTTGTTCTCTGGGACGAAGGCAGCCTTTTCTGTGTGGGGGTGCTCAGGTTCAAGCTGAAATGGCAAGAGGCAGCAGATGTCCCTTTGAAAACCATCACGGCGTCCGCAGGTTTCACTGCCAGGCAGGCTGATGTGAGCCTCTTTGAATTACTGAGTGAAGTATATCCCTCTTGCCAGTCCCTGTCCCCTGTAGGCACAGCAGAGAAGTATTACAGGCTGTCCTTACCTTGGGAATTAGCCTGCAAGACCCCGATGCTGTCATCAAACTGCATAGATTTGATGTTGAGTGACGCCAAGATGCATTCCTTGTCCTGCAGCGAAGTATCATCAATATTATTCTGATTGGCTGACAGGATAACGCACATGTCACAGAGGTTGATGTTGACGGCTCTTAAATCAGCCCGACTTAATGGCGTACCCTTTGGCATCGAGGCAGGGGAAAGAAAAGGAGAAGCCAAAGTGAGACCCAGGGTCGAGACGGAAAGAGGAAAAAAATAAAAACAAATTAAAGATTGAGCCGGAGCTTTGGGAAATTATTTAACAAGTATCTTTTTTATGCCTTGACATTAAGCTGGCCTAACTACATTCAAGGGAATAAGAGCTGTGTGCTAATCTAAAGGGTAGTCGGTGCTGATGGCAGCATTTTAGGCTTGCTCTCAATACTCGATCAAGCTATTACTAACAAACGAGGGAGAGGAATAATGCCAGGGTTCTACATCTTCTTACTGCCTGGAAATTGTCTTGATTTGAGTTAACTGTCCTGTGGCAACCTCTGGCGTTCAGAATGTAACGAGGGGGTGGGTTTCAAATGCCTGTTTGTTTAATGGCAGGTCACTCCTGTCTCAGGCGAAAGATAGCAGCTCTGAGGAGAATTTCCAAGGCAGCCAGGGGGAAATAGCCAGTGAGCATTGTGTGATGGGGGTGGGGTGGGGGCTGAAATCTGTGCTCAATTTGGAGGCTGTGGGAGGGAATGGAATTAATGTGCATCTTGCAAAGGGGAGATGGAAAGGAGGGAAGCTTCAGGTCATATAATTTTATTGCATATTTTCAGCAAGAAAGAAAAAACAAGGGAATTACCTAATTACCCAAAAAACATAGGAATGGTTAAACACACCATTGGACATAGAGACAACAGGAGTCTATGCAGCAGGTAACGAGACTGAAATGCCTTTCTACATTGGCATCACCTGCGAAGGATCTCTAAGCTAGAGGGGGAAGTGGAGAAAAGAAAGGAAACAAAAACAAGTTCTAGACAACTCTCAAATTACAATTTCATTTATGTAAAAAGAAACCCACAAAATAAAACTACATATTTATGAAGGTATTTATAGATATATGTACATTCGGAGAGAAAGCTCAGGAAAAATACACACTAAACTAATAACAGTAATTACCTCTGGGGAGGGGAATAATAGTGGGGGTGAAGGGAAAAGCTTGTTTTTGACTTTATATACTTCTGTATTATTTGAATATTTTATAACATGAACATATTTGTATATTAGTAGTGTAATTAAAAATAAATAAGCCGGTAAACAGATTTGTTTTTTAAATTACATAACAACAAAAAAACAATGGAAAAAACCCAGATCAAGGAGGTAATGACAGAGAAGCCAGGGACACAACTGCAGGTACAAAGAGGGGTTCTTGTGGGGGCTGGGTCATGCCCCCACATGCTGGGTGCAGAACTGCTCAGGCCAGCACATGTCACAGCTCCCAGGGGCTGGAGGGGGCAGAGCATTATTTTGGAGTTTACATCCAGCCATCACCTTTCTTGGTCTTCCAGCTGTTTTGCCTGCTGGTGAATGGAGACCTGAGAATTGACTGCCTTCAACTTACTGTGTGGGGAGAAGGGTTGCAGCGAAGTATCTGCAAGCCCAAAATCTCTGCAAGCCTTCCCTGTTCTCCTTCCTGGAGATGGGACTTAGCTGCAGAGATGGAGGAATCAACACTCTTCTATGACTCAGGGAGAGTCCCCAAGACTTTACTGCCAAGTGCAATTATGGAGAAAGAGGTATTTAGGGCTACAGGACTAGAGAGCTACTAGTTCCATGCTCTTTGACAGTATCTTCTGAGAAAAGGAGAAGCCTTTCTTGTCCTGGGTCCTCTTGATACACAATGAGTCTGACCAACTTCCTGAATCATTTTACTAGTGCATAAGCCTCAATTACCTACATCCATATTCTTTTAATTTTCATCTTGTAAGGGCTATGGCAGTAATTGTGATATAAGACAATCCCTGTGCAGTTGTATATACATGATTTCAAAATTCAGGAGATACAAATGACATGGTGAGGAACCTGTGTTTCCCTGTGCTGGTCCTATATGTGAGGTGCTATTTAAGCAAAGGAATGAAAACATAGGTAAAGGCATATTTTTTTAAGATATGTTATATCTGTGTGTGCTGTATTTTGGAAGGTTTGAAAAGGATCTGCATAGTTGAGAGCTCACTCATATATATGCAGGCAGGTGAGTGCATGTGGACAAGCACATGGCTGAAGGAAAGACATGCAATCACACACACACACATTCATACACCCCAGCAAAATAATGAACTCTTTAAATACTGTTAGACCCAAGTTCATGTGTTTCCATGAGACCATGAGGAAGAATACATGCAGGAAAATAGTCATGGAAATACATAATCAAATCTGTTACCTATGAAATTAGCAAGGCATACATCTGTTTATGCTCTTCTGTGTGTATGACTGTTTTTTCTATGGGTGATTATTTTGACTACATGTATTTTTTAAGTCAGTGAATTTTTGATGCAGCATCCAAAAGGTATCTATCTATACTTTTCTCACATTAAATATTTATTTAGTCCCTATCATGCCAGGTACACATAAGGATAAGAGGTGGATAGTTATGGGAAGATTCTTATGAGTTCTTAATTGAATTACATTACTTGTCTTTTTTTCTCCCATTTATGATGTTCTAATAGCTGGGGTTCTAAAAGCATACAATGGATTTCAGATCCAGAAGTGGGAAAGCACTTGGACCTCTTGAAATGTAGCAGCAAATCCATGTTTCCCACTTTCTGGAAGGTGAACCGCCAAAAAAATGTGTGAAGGATAAGTGATGTTTGCATGGAATGGAGAACTATGTCAAATGTTGAAATGCACAATACAACATTGAAAGCTTATGGAAGATACATTAGTTAATGCTTAAAAAGTGGTTAATTTGGGGTCCCCGGTGGCACAGCGGGTGAACACTGGGTTGCGAAGCTGCCCGCAGCCTCTGCAAAGCCGGTTCGATCCCCGGCTGCTCTCTGGCCACCGGAGGAGGGTCCCACATGGCGCTCAGACCTCTCCCGCCGCCCGCTGCTCCCCTCAGCAGTGTACTTCCATCCTTCTGCCTGCTCCGCTCCCCACTCTGGCTCTGGTGAATTCTCTCACCCTCCCACGCTTCTGACTGTACCCAGTGCTTGTATAAATAAATAAATAAAAATAAATCTTTAAAAAAATAAAAAAATAGATTATCTTAAAAAGTGGTTAATTACATGACACTCAGATCATGTAACCCAAGTCTTCACTCTAAATTGTGGCCCCTAAATTCTTCCTTTTAGATTTGTGCCAAGTGTTTCATAATCAAGAATAGTACATGCACATGCACACACACATACACAAACTCATGAAACGTTGCTGGACTTCTAAGTCAAGGGAAGGTGGTGGGCCACCTGCACTGCAGAGGAACTTCCCATTTACTTAAAAACAGAATGTGGTACAACCGAGATTTCCCCCAAGCATTAATAATGTCATAAACAAAATGATAGAAATTCTGCAAAATAGCATCATAACATCATAAAGTACTAGGTTTAGCTATGCAAGAGAAAATGTTTACAAACTGATATGGTTAATATGGGGTAAGTTTCACTCCTGACAAGTGACTGAGCTTGGCTGCTAATTCCTGAAAAGTCTCCCAGGGTTTGGATTTTCCTAGACAGGTTACAGGAGAAGGCATGAGTGAGTCCTCAGGCCCACAACCAGATGAAGAAGTAGAGGCATGATCAAAGGTACAACTATCATATCCAGCTGGGATTTTCTTTTGTGGATGAAAAGAAGAAAAAAAGCATTAATAATGCTTTAGTACTCACCGGCAATATGGACACTTTGGGGAAGTTATGAAGTGTCTCCCATTCTCGCTTGAGGTACTCAATGGAGCCCACAAATACGATGTGCTTGAGCTCGTGGTAATGAAAGTTGCTGGCACGGAGTGGCATCACCAGGTTCCGGAGGCCAATCAGGGCTGAGCTCACATCGCCAAAGATACAAACCACCACGTGGCCACTCAGGACGGTCATGGCGGCTTCACTTCGGGTCTGCAAGAAGCATAGGTGTGGGAGTGTTAGAAGACCCCACAGGGTTGTTGCAAGAACTAAAGAATCATTTGTGTAAGATTTGAGTAAACATTTGTTGAGTGTTTATATGAGCTATCATATGCTATTATTTTGGATTTATCAGTTTTATAGATATACTACATATGTTTATAATGGAGAATGTGTGTATATATTACACTGGTGTAATATATATATATGTTATATATAAACACATATCGCTACCTTTTGACAAAGATTATAAAAATATATGCCATATATATGAGCAGACGATCTCCCATCTTGCCTTCTTTCCTCCCTGTCTGCCCACTGCATGCCTGGATGGCCCCAGATGGCTTTCAATGCTTTGGGGGAGGCATATTAATGTCCACTGTACATATCAAACTCTGCTCAATTTAATCCCTAGAATTGAACCGTGTATTGATTGTTTAAATGCCAATATTGCGATTCACGACAATGTCAGAGTTATTACAGTAACCCCCAAGGAGAGGAAGAATCTAGCTTTCACTCCTGGATCGTTAGAATAAAGCAGGACTGTCACCATTATTGGTTTCCCTCGGCAACAGTGTAGGGACACTTACATATGAGCTATGAGAAATGTCTTACAAACTGTGACCAAGGACAACCCACTGGAGAGTCACAACCATACCACCACCTCATGAAGACCTGGAGTTAGTTATCAAGGGCGCATAGGAATGTGAGTGGCTGGGTACCACCAGCAAAGAGTCAACAGTCTGTCAGGTGCTGTGATGGGCTGCTAATTATTTTTAACTGGCCAGGACCCTGGGAGGTTGTCTTCCTTTAACACATCTGAGGAATACAAACTGGGACAGGAGCAGGGGCTAGAAATAGGCAAGTGGAGAAGGTTCCAGTTAGCAGATTGGCCAAAGCACAGATGCCTAATTGGGGAGTTAGACCTGGACACCAAAGCACCAATGTTTAGACTGCCACAGCAACCTGATCTGGAAAACCTTATAAAGGTTGCTGGGTCTCATCTGGGAAAGTCTGATTCTGCCATGTTTAGGACCCTCCAGAGAAGCCACTCACATGCACACCTTGTGCTTCCTCTGTACCCTCCAAGGCTAGGCTTGACCTCAGCAGTCTTAACTGCTTCCAAGTACAAACTGCTGTGTCCAGGAAGACTTCCCATGCCAGGAATATGGACTCTTAAATGTGTCCCTTCCCTCCTAGGCATGAACAGCATTATGTGTCTCATCACACTTAACCCTCAGGACACTGTTCCTTCGATACCCATACCACCTGAACGCGCTTGATTCTATCAATATATTATTTCATGGTTACATTTTATATGTTCTCTCAAATTAAATGGTTGTTTCCTCAAGTTTAAGGTCAGTTTATGTTTTCTAATCCCCAAAGTGGCCTGCACCCCGTAGGTGCTCATAGCCCCAGAGCATCTGCACAGAGCTTGTTCTGCTGAGTAGTCTCTGCTCTAATGTCACTTTAGAAAAGGCTTATTGAGCCACACTGTCTGAACAGGCCCTACAAGTCCTTTGCAAGCATGGCCCTGCTTTATTTTTTTCATGGCACTTGACCGATATCTGAAATGCTATCCCACATGCTTTTGCCTACCTGGAGGTCTTCTCTTTGTCCCCACTACTACATGAGTTCTGCAAGAGCTGTCATTCTCAGGAATTGTACCCCTAGCATTGAGAACAGTGCCTGGTATGGAAAAGATTTCTTTTGTGTGTTAAACAATCTCATTTTTCAGATGAGAGAGGTAGTAACTTACGTAGATAAACTGATAAACTCCTCCATGTGGCCAAGGACCTTGGATGTCAGTTAGCCATACACATCAGGACTACCTAGGCAAGCTATTAAACCCTAGATCCCAGGTATGGCCCTCAGCCTTTGACCTGCCACAGGTGAGTAACATCAGACTGAGTTCAAGTGACCAGAGCAGAAGTGCAGGGGATACAATATTAGGATGTAAACACAACAAGCAGCTTTGGGATTAGAGCCATTTGCACTCCCAGTAAGTTGGAAAATGGCTATTTCCTGAGAACCCTGACTCTCTGTGTTTTTGTCTGCAGCTTTCACACTCCTGAGACAGCCTCCAGCACAATGCCGTATTGGTTTTTAATACTTGATTACAATTAAATTGAGAAAACACACACATGCATTCAATTAAAACCAGGGAAATTGCCAGTGGATCAGAGTATGAAATTATTCTGAGGAATTGGACCAGTCCTTTTTTAGGGAGGGTGGCATGACATCAGAAATGATAGGATTTTCCAGGCTGACCTAAAGGAGCAGGCCACAGCATTCTGGGGATTAGAGGCGCCAGGGAGAAAGAACCCTTCCATCTCACCTTCCTGATTATTAATCCGTTTTTCATGGATTAGCAAGACAATAAACCAGAGGAAAGCTGATGTAGGTATTAAAACATAAAGCTGTTAATAGGACAAGTCTAAAGAGTAGAATGGCTTGTTATCTGTGCTGACATTCCTGAGAAGTTCACTGCAGCTATGGAGATAAACCAACCCCAAAATAGGGCTCTGAGCCCTCAGGCCCTGAGGGGAACCCATGGCTCACCCCATCACCACCAGCAAATGCATTGTGCCTGTCTACACCATGTGCTGCAAAGGATCACAAATATGGTAGCATTCATCTAAAGAGGTGTGAACCTGTACCTCTGAATCACATACCTCTATACCCCAACATTATCTCCATAAAAATAATACAACTAAAATAAATAAGTAACATAGAAGTTTGTAAGAATGAAAAAATATCCAAGGCTGTTATCTAGAAGAATACAAGACATTGTTATAAACAGATAATACAAGTAGCATTCAGGTTACTTTACTGCATTGAATAATAACAGGAAGAAGTAACTTTATTGAATCATATGTTGGATTTTAATCTTTACTAAACCCTGTAAGTTAGGGTTATTCTCAGCTCATCCTCTAACAGATAAGAGAAATGAAGCATTAAGAGGCCAGGTGACTTATGCCCAAGGCACACAGTTAGTAAAAGGCACAGCAGGCTCTTTCCCCAGTCACACCCACGGGAATTAAGTCAATCCCTCCACGGTGCCTGTCACACAGCACACCATCACTCCCTATTGTAATGAGCTGATACGTATTCAGAGATTGAAAATTCCTCTCTTGTGCTCATGTACTGATGAGTGTTCTAGCTGCTTCAATGTGTGTCCCGAATCCCAATCATCAAAAATAATCAGGACCAGGGCTGTATCATCCCAACCTTCCCATTAGGAAAACTTTCTTCTTGCAAATGTAGAAGTGGACACGTCTCTCCTTGGGCCCTCACTCACCAGGATGACCTTCTCTATCTCCTTTGGAGCACACCAGTGAAACATCCCTGTGGAGTCGTACTTCTTCACGTTGGAGTCCATGTTGTCAATCTGATCATTGCCGGGAATTAACAAGGGGTCATGCCTGGGGAGAAAAGGACAGGGACCCTAGTGATAAATGGTACATGTGAAGTGCCACTTGGGTTACATCTCAGATGGGGGAGATAAAAGTCAGAGGAAGTGAGTATGACTGAAAGCTATTCTTTGCTTGCAGAACCCATCCTTGAAAGACCATGGCCCCAACCACCACTGACCTGGAAGTGCACTTGACCACTGTCAGGTAATAATTCCACTGTTCTGTCCTGGTCTCCTTTGTCTGAAATGTCACACCATTTTGTGGATTTAGCCTTTCTTTTTTGGATGTTTCATTATCTTCTTATCTTACCAGCTATGCAATCACTCCAGTGTATGTGTGTGTTTCTGTGTGCACATGTACATGTAAATACACACACACACACACACACACACACACCCCAAAGGGTTGTTATTAGCATTGGCAATGAGAGGAAGGAAGAGGAATAGAGCCTCATGCTGACTGACTGGCATGAGGATGGAAAGCCAATTACTCGCTCTTTCTGACTACAACTTCTGACGTGATGCTCTTCGCAGTAAAAGCTTTAACAGGCTGCACTTTAAATATTTTAGCAATTTGCCCAATCAGATTTTGCTCTCACTGGCTGAAGCCCTTTAAAGATTCAGCAGCATGTCACTTCAGAGCAGATTGACTACCAAATGCCCACATCTGGAATACATGATTTCAATACTAAACAACACCCTCTCTCCCTGCCTTGACAACTGTATTTGCACTAACTGTCCGACGGCAGTCTCCCCACCCTACCTCTACACCCCAACTGCAGCATTCTTTGGATGAGAGCTTCCAGCTCAGATGCATCTTAATAAATTTGTCTTGAATTTTCAGGGCTACGTCCATCCCCTCTTGCCTTGTTTACTGATGGAAAAGGAAGATGCCTCTACAGAGACCTCCCCTCCTGTGGGCTGGTAGAGCCTCACTGACAACCTTAAGAATTACAATATTATCAGGCAGGTCTAACAAGCTTATAGCATAAAATATAGGTTCTTACATTTTGGGTCATATCATCATCATGATTTCTATCTCTGATAGTGATGCTGTGCTTAATTTTGGGGAGATCATTTGGATATCTACAACACTGACTGCATATAATTAGGCCAATGTCCCAGGCATACTAGTTATCCTGTCAGTGGAGCTATCTTCCTTGAATGCTATTGTCAATTCAAGACAGAAAATACAAATAGGTTGAAATTCTGAAAATTTATAATAAAGTGACTATCTTTTTAAAGGATCTTTTTCAAGCATCAAAGAGGAAACTTTAGTTAGATTTTAGTATTTCTCCCTCTGAAATTTCTCTGATAATTCTCATTTATATGTCCAAAATATAGAATGGGACAGCAATCCCTTCCTTCTACATTGTCCATAGACTAGAATTAAGCTTTTGGGACGACTACATGACCCTACCAATATGCTTTCCACCCCCATGTAAGGTGGGAAAGCTCTCATTGTATTTATTTATGCCTGAGAATTTGCTTTTAGGCTACACCAAATGACAAAGACCAAATGAGGCAAATGTGCAAAGTTATGATGAATGAACATTCTAGATAGTTATAGGAGCTGTCATAACCACTCTTAAAAGAAGAACAATCCACTTTGGAATAGTCTTACTAACAGGGCTATTGGGAGATCTTGAGGTATTGTAAACTACCAGGCCACTTTTCAAATACTGAACTTGGTCAAAAATGCTAAAGCAAGAAGACAGTAGCTGATCTGGTCACAAATCAGGGCAAGAATAAATCTTGACTTTTTTTTTTTTTGCCTTTAAAAAATCACTATCTGGATGTGTAGGTGAATAGAAGTCATCACAGAGAGGAAATTTGAGAAAATGATCAGAATGAACTCTTCTCAGCCCTGGAAGGACATACTTTAATTGCAAGAGTATCTTAATAAATTTGTCCTGCAGATTGTCAGGTTCAAAATCTTTTGCCCTATTATGGCTTAGAGAGGAGGAATTATCTCAAGGCCTGCCCTCAATGCATTCAGGATTTAAAAGACAGCAGGACCACATTCACATAATATCAGTAAGCAAGAAACTGATCTAGCAAGCTGACCAAAATTCCTTTCAGAAAAATATGTGCCTTGGGGGGGAGGACAGGCATTTTTGTTCCCTATTTTTCTGGGTAGGAATCATAGTTTGGTAACAGTGGCCTCCAACCCTCTTAGAAATGTGTATCTTAGGAAAGTGAATACATAAGCCTGCTGATCACCCCTCAAAGAGGAGAAAAACTGATTTTTAATGTCAAGCCTCATTAACTAGGGTGGAGGTTTGGGGAAGCCAACCACGATTTGCACTGGGACATCCAGAAGTTTCCAGGCAATCTCAGTGGTATATCAGGCTACATACATCTGTACACACAAGTCTCTCAATCTGGCTTGGCTAGTTTAAATATAATACATTGAGGATTTTCCCTAAATTGTTTGATCTGAGAACCATCAAAAATCTCCTTGAATAAAAATATATCCTTTTTTTTTACCAGCCATGGTACCTACAATTCAAACTTTGGTTTCTTTAATGATCAAAGCAAACAAGTGCCAGAAATAGGGAATACTATAATGATTAAAAACACAATCTCTAGTCAAGGAGAGGATGACAAGACAGTAGGTGAGAGAAAAAGTCAACCAATAGTTATGAAACACTGGGGTAAGTGCTACAGCAAAATGATGTGCAAGATGGCATAAGAAAACCAGGAAGGAACCCCTTATTGCTTGGTATTTGAGTAACAGCAAAGAGAATTCCTAGAGCAGGTAAAATTTGATGTGAGCCCTGAAAGGTGAGAAAGAACCTCTGCATATTTTAGTGTTGATCCACTTAAATGAACTCAGAAAGTTGGGGTCCAAAAGAAAGGAGTCAAAGAATGGCACCCAAAGCCTTGGTTGGCTGTGGGAACGATAGCATTGTCCCAGCAGAGATATGGAAGACTCAAGCCAGGCATGTGAGCTGTCCTGATACAGCAATGGCTACTAGTGGAAGATGGATTCAACTGATTGAGTATGACTAATTGAAAGCAGACTAGGAACAATACTTGGGATTTAGATAGAAGAAAAATCAAGTTTCAAAAGAGGAAGAATGTTATAAAAATGGAAAGTTTTTTAAAAATGAAATGACTTATTTCCCAAGGCAATGAATTTCTCATTATTTGAGACATTCCAGAAGAGCTGGGGGTAGCGAGGGGATTTGATTATAAATGTGGGATAAGCCTAGAGGACCTTTAAGATCTGAGGCAGCGGGCTCTCATTGGGGGAAGAGGAGACTAAAAGGATTTTGGAAATAGTGAACCACTTTTGGATATCAAAAGGCCAAAGAGCACTGGGTAAGTGAAAAATAGCTGTTGTTGGAACAAAGATGGGAGTTAAGAAGCATTGAAGATTGAGTACTTTCATAGTTCCATTAAGGGCTAGGGCTGTTCCTCATTCACTGAATTCCACTGTCTTGGAGGAAGCTTGGAACTGATTCATTCCAGCAAGATGAAAGTGTAACTACTTTGGGCCAGACAGGATAAATTTCTTTATCCTGTCTGTTCCTGCAGTGATTTCAGATGCTTTAGGTTGCCTTGTGCTGCTGAGAGATCTCTGACATCGGTGAAGAGTGAAGAGCCAGTTGTCCACAGTAACTTCTGCTTCTAAACTAAGGTTTAAGGAATTTATACTCATATAAGAAAGGCCAAGAACTTGCCCTGGAGCACAACAACCAGCACTGCTATGATCAGGGGAGGCCCAGGCAAGAGTCAGGCCATGTGCTGGACACACATGGGGGGACCTTAGAATCCTGAAAAAAAAATACCCCAACTTCATTGGTTTGCAAAATGATGAAGAACCAGTTCTCTAGGCACTCAAACAGTTCCTCAGAGACCACTTGGTTGGAGCTGAGGATCAATAGTAGATGCTTGTCTTTCACGCCTTAATTACTTGATATATTTTCTCAAATCACAAAGAAATCCCAATTTTCTTAAAATACACCATTATTAATTAAATATTCACTTGCCACATACTACTTAGTCAATGTACATTCCTTATTTTAGGGTAACAGAAATTCTATGGGGTGAGGACCATTTGCTATATAGTTTTTATGGGCTAGACTGTGTCCTCCCCAAAGCCTATGACTGTATTTTGAAATATGGTCTTTAAATGGTAATTATGTTAAAAAGAGGACATTGAGGTAGGCCCTATTTCATAGACTGGTGTCCTTACAAGAAAGAGGACATATGGACAGAGACACGTGCAGAGGAAAGACACTGTAAAGGTGGTCTAAACCGAGCCTCCGTGGCCTCAAAGGGGCCCAACTCTGCCAACACACTCATCTTGGACTACCAGCCTCCAGAACTATGAGAAAATATATTTCTGTTATTTAAGACATCCAGCCTATGATACTTTGTTTCTGCAGTCTTAGAAAACTAATGTAAGAGGGCACCTGGAAGAAAAAAGTGCTGTTACCAGATATTGTGCCACTGATGACCCTGGTTCCTCTTCTCGCACCTGAGATCTCACCTGTTCATTTAAGCATTCTGCCACCAGCTCAGGAATACATGAATTATACAGGAAATACACACAATCTTAGAGCAAGAGTTTGGGCTAAAGTTCTTCCCCTCCCCTGCACAACCCTGCCCCCAGCATACATATGTGATTAGAACAGCTGTGCAGAAAGGGAACTTCTCCCTGGTCTTTCCTTACATGCCCATTTGAGTATAGATACTATGACATGCCCCTCAACGAGAAGAAGAAGCCTCAACACTAACCAGATACTTTGTTCAGATAACCCAGAGTGGATCTCCAAATGGAGCGCTTGAAGGTAGACCCCCACTGAGGGCAGAAAACCACCCATTTCCTCCGTGACAAAACAGTCTTGTATTTAAGTGTACTGGCTCCAGCACCAAAATGCCTACCTTCAAGTCTCAACTCATCTACTACTTGTTACATCGGGCGCCTTACCTCAGTTTCCTCAATATAAAATATTGGATTCAGTTCAAAGATTACATGAGTAAAGACATGTCATGCAC